GGCCACTGTGATGGGGAAAGGGGAGGGATGGGGCATCTGGGAGGCACCCAGCCAGTGTTAGGGCGAGGGGCAGAGGTCAGGGAGGGCTTCTTGGAGGAGGTAACTGAGGATGAGCATGGCTGGGAGTGCCAGAGGGCAGGGCATGGACCTCACTCTTTAGACCCTGCCACTGGGAGGACCCCTGACTACCAGCAGGTGTGCTGAGGCAGTCCCGCCCTCAGCACTATTTAGAAAGCCTCCCTATTGCCTAAGAAGAAAACCAAAACTGTTTAATATGACACTCAGAAGCCTACACACACACAAATAAACGCGCACACACACCTTAGATATTGGCCTTGGTCCTTGCTGTTCCCAAAAGTCCTCCCACTACATCTTCATCTGCTGAGCTTTCATCTGCCTTGGACTTCATCTCAGGTGTCATTTCCTCCAGTGTCATCCGTCAGGCCTTTTCTCTGAGCTTTCCTGGCTCTATGCACTTCCTGCCACCTAAGTAGCTGTCTATCTCCACTGTCAGTCTGCCCACCACTCAATGACTTCCTGATGGTAGAGGCCAGGCCTCACACCCAGATCTCACTTCAATGCCAATGCTTCATACTAAAGTAGATGTCACATTCTGTTTGTATGTGATTTCTCTTGGGCACCTATCATTGGAGTGAGCCTCCCCTGTGATCTTGCCCTGGGCCTCCTGCCCCCTTGGCATGCCCTGGGCACTTCAACCTGCAGGGATAGCTGCAGGCCTCACTCCTCGAGAAACTGAGGGCATGAGCCCTGATATCCCCCATACCCACTGTTGAGGGTCACAGGAGTAACAGCGTGATGCTCACGATACTGGAATTAAGGTCACCTTCTGAGAAATAAACTAGCAAATTAATCACAGGAAGGTTGAGATTCTGTACATGTACCTTAAAAAACAAAGTGTCTCCCAGGTTTAGAGCAGTAAAAACTAAATCCTAAAAATCATGTTTATCTTTCCCCAATTTAGATTCCTTTTGCACACTATATCCCTAGATGTAAACAGCTCAGCATTTTGAGATTTTTTTTTTAACTTCGTTGTCTTATTTAACCTACACTATGATTCCATTAGAAATGTTATCTTATATCTCCATTTTCCAGAAGAAAAACATTGAGGTGCAGAGAACTGAAACAAATTGCCCAAGGTCACACAGCTAGAAGATGGAAAACCTGGTATAACAACCTGGAAAGCCTTATTCTCTAAGCCCTGTGCCAACTGCCTCCTGAGGGCTCCCAATATCCCCAAGTAGGAAGAGAAAGGAAGGAACCAATAAATAGGTCTCCTTTCTACTTCGAGGTGAGACATTGCTCAGTCTCCTCTGAAATTTTTCTTAAGGGAATTTTGTGTTTCTCAGAGTAGCTCCTTAACCATTCCTCCCAAATGTCCTCCACGGACTGTCCTATAAACCAGCTGAGGCTGGGTGAGTCACCTTCTAGAAGCTCCCAGGGTGGGCACTGCAAGCTGCTCTCAGAGCACCTGTGCAGCCTCATTGTAGGCACCTGTCCACTCACCTGTCTCCCAGTTAGACTTTAGAGGGAAGCTGCCACAAAGCTTGTTCCTCACTGTACCCAAGCCACTGAAAGATTTTCTGCACATAACAGGAACCAAATAAATGTGCCTAAATGGTGAATGATGGAATTAATGACTCGAATGTAGCAAATGCTCGACGTCTGCTTTTGTCCTCCCAACATCTTGCACCCTTTATGTTTGGGGGGAATACTCCATCTACAGGACTGGGTGGGAGGCAAAAATGACCCCTCAAAAGTGCTGAATGCCCAGCGTTCCTGCTTTCCCAGATTCGCTTGCAGTCAGCCCCGTGACCAAGGCTCCGCCAGCCAGACACAACATTCAGACTCACACCCAGGTCTAGCAGGGCAGGAAGCCAAAGGTCAGGGTGAGAGCGGGAAAGGGAACTTTCTGTCTGTCCCATCCTCTCTCTCTCTCTCCATCTCTGTCTGTCTCTATCCCTTTCTCTGTCTGTCTCTGTCTCTCCTGTTTCCCCTTCTGTCTCTCTCTCTGTCTGACCCTGTCTATCTCTCTATATCGCTCCCTCTAAATAGCTCACTGTCTCTTTATCTCTCTGTCTTTTTCTGTCTCTCCTTCTCTCTGTCTTTTTCTGTCTCTCCTTCTCTCTGTCTCTCTCTCCTCTCTGTCTCTCCCTCATTCTGTCTCTTTCCTGTCTGTCTCTATCTGTCTATGAGCTCCCTCTAAATAGCTCACTGTCTCTTTATCTCTCTGTCTTTTTCTGTCTCTCCTTCTCTCTGTCTCTCTCCTCTCTGTCTCTCCCTCATTCTGTCTCTTTCCTGTCTGTCTCTATCTGTCTATGTCTCTCTGTTTCTCTTTCCCTGTTTCTTTCCCTGTCTTTTTCTCTGTGTCTCTATATCTCTGTCACTCTCTGTGTCTCTCTGTATCTCTGTCTCTATCTCTCTGTCTTTAGCAGGGGTACAGTGGAAGCATCTGGAAGGTGCATGTTTGGTGCAAATGGTGTCCTGTCAGTAGTGGCTGTGGTTAAGTCTGCTCCAGGTGTCTCGTGCACAGTGGCCGCAGCACAGGGGTCTTCATCAGACCCATTCTGTGGCGTAGCTGGACATTGTTCCTGAAAGGTGAGCCTCAAGCCGGGTTCTCCAGGCCCACCAATGACTCTGTGATCTACCCAATGTCCTTGTAATAAACTCCTCTCTTGTTTAATCAGCCATAGCCAGCCTCTGCTGCTTGCAAATAAGACCCCTGACTGAGGCATTAGGAAATCTGCTGACAGATTACAGTGAAAATCAATGATAAAGTATTTCTTAAATCTTTAGGACTGGTGAAAACCTGAGGGACCTGCGGAGTTTATCTAACACAACACCTCAGTTTGACAGCTGCAGCTTGGCGAGGTCAGCCCAGTTTGGAACCAGGCCTCCCACCCTCGCTTTCTGGGGAGCCACGGTTAGAAACTTCCTGGGAACACTTTTAGTTAGAAAAAGAAAGGCTGGCCTTGGCCTTGGAGACAGGCGAGAAAATAGCCTTGGCCTGAGGAGATTTTCATTCCTGTAGTTAAATAAAACGCAAACAGCTTTTATGAGGGAAGAAAGTGAAGTTTGAGGTCGTCTTGTCAGAGCACAGTTAAACAGAAGAGAACAACACCAGCTTGCAGCCAGGCAGCCACCTGCCGGAGCGTCCCCCTGGCTTCTCCCGCACGGGCTCTCCACGCTGTTCCACCAGGAGGGATTCTAGTGTGAGCTGTCTTTTCCAGGAACCTCACCAGAATCACCTAACCTAGAAAACAAAACAGACCTGGCAGGTGGGGCCACCTCTGGGTTTGGAGGCTGACAGCTAAATCCAGCTGCAGCCAGAGAGAGCCAACGTGCCCCATGACTTCAGGCAACTCAGGGCGAATGGCACGAGAGTTGGTTATTAGAATTTCACTCTGGATTGCGACACCACCCTTCAGCTCCGTCGATGAGGTTGTGCAATCATCCGGTCCTATAAATACAGTGACACTTCAGCCTTGTACATCTCTGTCAGCCCAGCCTCCAAGTGAGCCTCTCCTCCTCTCCTGAGATCCAGCCACCATGAGGGCTTTCTGCCTTCTGCTGCTGACTGTCTGCTTACTCTTCTCCCAGTTCACCCCAGGTAAGCTCCAGGATCTGCTGGGGACACTGACACTGGGGCTAGCGTGAATTGAGGTCACCCCCCTTTGTGTCCTGAGGGACAGGCAGCAGGACAGTGTCCCACAGTTGAGTGGCCCACAGTTGGCAGAAGGCAGCAGGCAAGCCTGCCGAGCCCTCGGGGTCTGTGAGCTGTTGCCTGAGCAGCAGAGAATTGAGCCTGGCAGGGACTCGGGGCTAGTCACGGGCAGCTCCCAGCATCTCCCAGACCCTATAGCTGTCCTGGACATCTAGAACATAACCTATGTGGATGGGATTGCTGCTGTACCTGCAGAATAGCTGAGAGGCCAGCTTCCTCTCCAGAGAGGTGCCACTGCCCCTCCCACCAGCCAGCTCAGCCGGTGCCGGTGCCATGGACTCAGCTTGCATACAGGCAGTAAGGGACCCACAGGCAATCTGCCACCTCCCCTGGGAAACCCATCCACACTCTCCAGGCTAGGAGCTCTCCGCAGTCAACAGAAGGGGGCCTTCCTGTCATGCCAGAGGATGCCAACTTCTCTGGGCCAAAGCAGCCAAGTCCCTGACATTAGAGAAGGTGGGACCCTGCAGTAGGAAAGGAGACACAGTATTATCCCAGCCCTGTCACTCACTCACTCACAGTGACTTTGAGCAAGTCTCATATTTCTAAGCCTTATTTTCTGATCTGCAAAATGAGAGGGCTGGGGAAGATGACTCTAAAAGCATTATAGCTCAGAAATTCTCTGAAAGATCCTATTGTACTGTCATCCAGACCATTGCTTTAACCTACAGATACACCTAATTTACTCCAATTATGATTCAGTTTTCGCATCTGAAAACTGGACACGAAAGCATTGTAAATGCAGAATTTTTCATATTGCCAGTAGCAACCCATTAGAAAGGCTGAGAAATCAATTTAATGAGTTGCAACTATGTATGTTTTTTTAAGGAATAGAAAATACTAATACATGCCATGTGGTAAGGGTACATTCCATTTTATTATGCTCATTTCAGTTTTTTGTGTGTGAGGGAGTGGTTTTGTTAAGTAACAAGGGGATATTTCTTTCTTATGGCAGTTTAGTCCAAACTCAAAGTTTGAAAGCTACTTTTCTAATACAAAGAGTTTTTATTTTCAGTCTATTATATCTAAATATGATTATGAGCACTTCATTCAGAGAAGAGGAAATAAAACAGTTTTCCAAGGATGTACAGGAAGAATTAAACTTATTAATCGTTCATTATGAAAATAGCAACTGATATTATTGAGCCCACATATCAGGATTGCTCAGATACTACAGGACAAGGCAACCCTCTACTGTGTCCTTTGATGACTTGTAAATCCTGTCTGCACAAACCTAGCAGGAAATGATTGTCCATATGGGAAGGCTCCTCCCTTGGGGTTGCCCAACACCAGCTCATCTAGAAAGGGCAAAGTGCAGAGCCCACCCCACCTCCAGGTGAGAGCCAGGGAGCCTCTGAGCCCCCCAGAGGCCCCTGCAGACTCTGTAGGGAGCCACTGTTGTCCCAAAATGTTCACATTCTGTAAGAGGATCATGGGGAAGGGCACTGCTTAATGCAAATATTTTCTGCTGACATTTTTATTAATTTGTTTCTTATTGTACATATTTATGGAGTACAGAGTGATACTCAGCTGGGATTTTATGGATTGGTCTGAGCATTCTCGTCTGATGGGGAGGAAGAACTAAGTTCCCCAAGTGTCCTTCACACTAGAACATGCAATTTCCGCACCCTGTCTCCTGGGCCACGCTGCAGGCAGCCCTTGTGTGCCCTGCTTCACTTTTCACCAGTTTGGGGTTTTCTTTTTTCTTTTTTAATTAGGCTACAGCTGACAGACTAAAGTTGTATACATTTATGACATTCAGTGTAATGTTTTGATATATGTACACATTGGTGAAATCGAGCTAATTAACATCCATCACCTCACATGCTTGGCTTGGGGGTTTTCTGCTGTCGTCTGCAGCCCTGGCTTCATCCCCACTGCCCACCCCAGCATTTAGTGCAGGGAGGGTGCCAGGTGCCGCTCCTGGAAGGTGGTGCTTGGACTCGTGCATGGCTCACCCTGTGCTCTCACATGGTGCCAGCTCACTCCCTTTTCTGGAAGTGCCATTAGAGCTGGTCTAGCTCAACCTGGTGGTTTCACAGGTAGGCAAAGTGAGGCCCACGTGACCCAAGATGAACGGAAGTCATAAGACTTGACAATCTATTTTAGCAGTTTTCTTCTCCATCAAAGGGGAAAACAAATGGGCTGCTCACTTTTACCTCATGCAAATGGTCTTTTTGTGAATATAGAATGATATCAAAGTGGCAGGTGACTCAGGCCCCTGCATCTGCTAGATGATAAATAGCCGAGGTCTTTGGAAATCAAGATAGTTTGAGGCTGTCCATTCATCAATTCAGCAGATATTATGTAAGCAACTATTATGTGCAGGCATTGCCCTGAAAATGGGAGAAGAGCCAGGAAAATACAAGCCCTTGATCTCATGACCTTCCATTCTAGAAGCACAGCACAAACTGAAAAACCCATTATATAATTGATTACCTAATTACAATTGTGCCTTGAAATGCTGTTAAGTACAGGGTACCAGGAGATCATGTGACAAGGTGTTAGACCTGGTCTTGAAGTGTCAGGAAAGATTTTCTTGAGGAGGCTGTTAAAAAAAAAAATTCTTTTTCAACATTTAAAAATTAGGATATGTCACATAAAATTTATTTATTTTTAATTAACACATATTGATGGTACATATTTATGGGGTACAGAGTCATATTTAAACACATGTGTACAATGTGTGATGTGCAAATCAGGGTAATTAGCATAATTATGACCAGAATTTTATCATTTTTGTGATGAGAACATCTGAGCTCCTCTCTTGCAGCTATTTGAGAACATACAATCAATTATTATTAATTACAGATGCCTAGCATTACTGTAGTCCACTAGAACTTATTTTTCCTATCTACCTGTAGTTTTATGTCCATTACAACCTCTTCCTATCCCCTCTCCCCCTCCCTTCCCCAGCCTCTAGTAACCACGATTCTACTCTTTACTTCTAAAAGTTCAACTTTTTTAGCTCCAATATATGAGTGAGAACATGAGGTATTTATCCTCTGTGCATGACTTACTTCACTTAACATGTCTTCCAGGCTCATCCATGTTGCTGCAAATAAATTTAGGATTTTATCTGATCTGGAAAACACAAAAGATGTGGCAGCATTCCTACATGGTAACAGGGAGCTGCAGCCAAACAGCGACTGCTCCTCCAGATAGGCACCTGTCCTTGTGTTGCCACAGGCCCCACCACTCCCTATCGCCTCACCTAGGCCCACTTCACACAGTTACGGGATATACCTGGCTCCTGTGGCATTTGAATGTGCGGCGCTAAATTAAATAAATGAGTGAAAGGTGAGGGGCAGGTGGACAGAAAAACAGCATACATAAAAGCTCAGAGGTAAAGATGATTAAAAGCAATAGCTCTTGCTTTCAATTTAGTCCTCACAACGCCCCCTACAGAGAACAAAGAATCAGTATCCCCATTTTGTGGGATAAGTCCCATGACTGGTAGTAGGCAGCTCAGGGACTCAAACCCAGGCCATCAGCTCCAACGCTGGAGCAAAGATGAGGCCGGGGGGCTCGGGGATGGGATTAGGGGAGTCATGGGGGAAGGGAGAACTGGGAATCCCAGGAACAACAGTCCAGGAATGTCCTGAGGCCAGATCAAATGAGGTCTTTTTTTTAAATGAATATTCATGAGATACAAAGCTGATTGTCACCCCTTGTGACCATGATGTGAGGGCCAAATTCATACTGACAGCCTACCCATTACCACAAATTGCATTTGTACCCCATGTCTCCCACCCAATTAGCCCCAACCTCCCTCCCTGTCCCCTCCCCGCCCTCCACTTTGTAGCCCAAGGAATGTTCTCTCCCTCTGCAAGTCCAATGCACTACTGTGGTCTTTCCTTCCTTCCTTCCTTTCTCTCTTAGCTCCCACTTATGAGTGAGCACATGCAGTATTTATCCCTCTGTGCTTTGCTTATTTCACTCAACGTAAGTTTCTCCAGGCTCATTCATGTTGTTTCAAATGGGAGTATTTCATTCTTTTTTATGTCACAGTAGTATTCCATGATGTATATACACCACAGTTTCCTTATCCAATCATCCATCAATGAACATTTAGGTTGGTTCCATGTCCTGGCTATTGTAAACAGAGCTGCGATGAACATGGAGTGCAGGTATCCCTTCGACATAATGATTTCCATTCCTTTGGATATATACCCAGAAGTGGGATTGCTGGATCATATGGATAATCTATCTGTAGTTGTTTGAGAAACCTCCATACTGTTTTCCATCGTGGTTGTACTAATTTACAGTCCCACCAACAGTGCAGGAGTGTTCCCTTCTCTCCACACCCTTGCCAGCATTTGTTATTCACCGTCTTTTTGATAATAGCCAGTCTAACTGGGGTGAGCTGATATCTCAATGTAGTTTTAATTTGCATTTCTGTGGGGCAGGATACACATCTGAGTTTGGGGGGGCCCCAAAGGTTTTCAAACTGGGAGAGTGATGGCATCAGAAATGGAGAGATTGGTTTGCCTGCAGCATAGAAGTCGAGTAGAGACTGAGGAGAGGAGAGCAGCCTGGGCTGAGCAGCAGCCGGGACACTCCACATCTGCAGAGCCAGTGCTCTTACAGCTGCACTTTTCCCAGGCCATCAACACTTCAGGGCAGCAGAATGAACCCCCAATCGGTCATTCCCCAACTTCCTTCCTTTCCCTCCAGGATCTGTGTGCTTTCCTGCTAGACTGGGACCCAGTTTCCTCACCTTTAACGGGAAGGATCCTGGCCCCAATGTTCTGTGGCCCTCAATCCCCACCCTCCCGTGCCCACTCCTGAGTGTCTCACCCTGTCAGCCCCACCCCCACCTGCTTGCGCTAATTCTTCCTACCTTTCTGTCCTCTGCCAACAGCCAACAGGAATGTGCCTGCTGC